CTTGCGTTCTCTCTCGCTCGCACGTAGCATGACGAAAGAGAGCGCTATGCTCTGTGCGAGCGAGAAAGAACGCAAGGGGCACGAAACAGAGTATGTCCTTTTCTACGTGTATTTTTACCCCCACTCCTTAAATAAAGGCAAACGCTCGGTCTAGATATACTATGTCTATGGCAGCCACTCTGTTCTCTGTTAGACCTTATTGTCGGTGACCGAGTGAAGGACGTCTTCTTGTCTTCATTTTCTCTATAAAATTTGTCTCGAGCAAACTGTAAGTAAAACTTTCCTCCATTCTTGATATCCAAGCTTGATCGATCAATTCAAATCTGTAAATAATGTAATATAACATCGAATATTTCATCCAAAAGGGTATTGAGACCTTTACCGGCTGGCTAATTTGTTAATAGTGATTCGCTATTAATCAACCAGAAAAATATATTAATATATATTAATTAATCGTTCTGATATAATAATACAATAATAATGATGAGATCGAAAGAATGATTCAGAATAATCGCGGCACGAGTACATATTGCGTTATAGCAGAAATTTATATCAGAAATGCTTTGGAAGAGAGACGCCGTTATATCATAAAAGTGTCTCTATGGCCGGTATTTATAATCCGTTATTATATTTAAGGTGATGCCGGACCGTCCTGTTTTACCGGCCATAATAATTTACTTTGCAGACCGAAATTTTTAAATTTTTACATCTGAAATGTAGATATTGTTTAAAAGGAATAGAAATTTTATTTATGACAAAATATAAAGTATGAGTTATTTATAATCTTTTGAATAATTATAATCTGTTTTTTTCCATGTGTACATTTATTTTCTTAATTAAATATAAAGTTCAAGCATTCCTTGGTAATAAAAATTTCTTCTGACGTCAAAATATGGGATCAACTGAAGAATTAGCTCTCTATTAAAGCTCTCTCAATGTTGAATTCAAATTTAAATTTCACTGAGCTAGTAAAAGCCAGGCACGGATAGTAGTGCATCAGTTTCAAGGAAAACTAATTTTTCATTGAAGCTGATTAATTGTACATAGGGCATAAATTTTTCTTGGTGCGATACCAAATAAATAAATCTTAAATCGAAATTTTTATTTTAATAAACCCTCATGACTTCTCTAAAGAGCAAGGATTATTTAATTATTTGGTATTATACCAAGAAAAAATTGTCCCTGTACACAACTATAATTAGTTTCAATAAAAAATTACTTTTTTTTTAAATTGACACATTACTATTCTCATCTGGCTTTTACTAGTCTGATGAAATCTAAATCAATGTCAGATGATGAGAAAATTACAGAGTTGGGTAGTAACGCGTTACTTGTAACGCCGTTACCGTTACAGTTACTTTTTTTGGTAACTGTAACGGTAACGGCGTTACAAATTTTGTTTGTAACGGAAAAAGTAACTTTGTTACATTTTTCGGTAACGAGTAACGAATTTAACAGTTGCTTTTATCGTTATTTTTTTTTAACTTTTTTGGTATAATTTTCATACAAAGGAAAATATTGATAAGAGCGTTGGAATGCAGCATTACATGAAAACTACTGAAAACTCATTTTGGTATCTTGTTGTTTCTTTGGACAATGTTTAAAAATTTTTAGTGTTTAATTTGATCTTGTATTAAAAAAAATTGTATGTAAAGTTATTGTTATATATAAAAAAACTAACGGAAATTGTAACGACTCGTTATTTTTTGAGTAACGGTAACGGTAACGAGTTACTTTTATAAAGTAACTTTCCCAACCCTGGAAGATTATATATTGAAACATATATTATATGTTATTAGATCATTTCTCAAATTATAATGACAATGAGACTGAGGAATAATAAACATCTTTTTCAGCAATATGCCTTCCTATAAGCTGACTTATTTTTCCGTTAAGGCTTTGGGTGAGCCAATTCGCTTCCTGCTCAGCTATGGTGGCACTGAATTCGTCGACGATCGTTTCGATAAGGAAGATTGGCCAAAAATTAAGCCGAGTATGTACATCTGCAAAGCGTCAATCAATTGTAACGACGTGTATTATAGCATTTATATATCTGTCGCAACCTCTTAATTAATCGGCTCGACTGTTCTTCACAAATCTGACTTATGAATATTTGCATCAGATCAGCAGTGAAAAAAACATAATTCTTACAAGATACAAATAAATAAATAATACAAATAAATCTATATTGCCAAAAAATTAGACTTTATATATTATATTATATACAATTTAACTTTAATAATTAATTAATTATTAATCATCAAGATTCTTCCTCTTAATATTTAAATACAAACATTGTATAACAATTGCAATGTAATTTTTAGGGATATAAATTCGAATAGTTTTTTTTATGATAAACTTTATACAATTTTTTATGTTTTATATTCACATTCTTTAATATCATTTTTAGCTACGCCATTTGGCCAAGTACCCGTACTCGAAGTAGACGGAAAGAAGATCGCTCAATCTACAGCTATCTCCCGCTACTTGGCAAAGCAATACGGTCTTGCCGGCAAAGACGATTGGGAATCTTTAGAAATCGACGTTACCGTCGATACTATACATGATGTACGCGCCAGTGAGTATTGACATAATATGCCGTTATTATTCTTAATTAATTTTTTAAAACTTTGTTTTTATTTTTATTGTTAAGAAATTAGAGATTTTAAATGATTCAAATCGCAATTTTGGTGAGCTCAGATATCGATACTATTGACATACCGATTTATTCGCATCAATGGAAACAATAAGTTGTACATTTTTTCTGTGTATTTACAGCAATTTTAATTTATCGAAATTGATCGTTTCAAATGCTTGATTGAAATTGCTTATAACGTTTCATCCTTTTTTTTATAGAAATCGCGGCTTATCATTATGAAAACAACGAAACTGTTAAAGAGGAGAAACTCAAAATCGCCAAGGAAACGGTGCCGTTCTATCTTTTTAGAAAAAAGGACGGTAACGGTAACGAGTTACTTTTATAAAGTAACTTTCCCAACCCTGGAAGATTATATATTGAAACATATATTATATGTTATTAGATCATTTCTCAAATTATAATGACAATGAGACTGAGGAATAATAAACATCTTTTTCAGCAATATGCCTTCCTATAAGCTGACTTATTTTTCCGTTAAGGCTTTGGGTGAGCCAATTCGCTTCCTGCTCAGCTATGGTGGCACTGAATTCGTCGACGATCGTTTCGATAAGGAAGATTGGCCAAAAATTAAGCCGAGTATGTACATCTGCAAAGCGTCAATCAATTGTAACGACGTGTATTATAGCATTTATATATCTGTCGCAACCTCTTAATTAATCGGCTCGACTGTTCTTCACAAATCTGACTTATGAATATTTGCATCAGATCAGCAGTGAAAAAAACATAATTCTTACAAGATACAAATAAATAAATAATACAAATAAATCTATATTGCCAAAAAATTAGACTTTATATATTATATTATATACAATTTAACTTTAATAATTAATTAATTATTAATCATCAAGATTCTTCCTCTTAATATTTAAATACAAACATTGTATAACAATTGCAATGTAATTTTTAGGGATATAAATTCGAATAGTTTTTTTTATGATAAACTTTATACAATTTTTTATGTTTTATATTCACATTCTTTAATATCATTTTTAGCTACGCCATTTGGCCAAGTACCCGTACTCGAAGTAGACGGAAAGAAGATCGCTCAATCTACAGCTATCTCCCGCTACTTGGCAAAGCAATACGGTCTTGCCGGCAAAGACGATTGGGAATCTTTAGAAATCGACGTTACCGTCGATACTATACATGATGTACGCGCCAGTGAGTATTGACATAATATGCCGTTATTATTCTTAATTAATTTTTTAAAACTTTGTTTTTATTTTTATTGTTAAGAAATTAGAGATTTTAAATGATTCAAATCGCAATTTTGGTGAGCTCAGATATCGATACTATTGACATACCGATTTATTCGCATCAATGGAAACAATAAGTTGTACATTTTTTCTGTGTATTTACAGCAATTTTAATTTATCGAAATTGATCGTTTCAAATGCTTGATTGAAATTGCTTATAACGTTTCATCCTTTTTTTTATAGAAATCGCGGCTTATCATTATGAAAACAACGAAACTGTTAAAGAGGAGAAACTCAAAATCGCCAAGGAAACGGTGCCGTTCTATCTGGAGCGTTTGAATGCTCAGGTGCAGAAGAATGGCGGGTACTTCGTCGGCGGTGCTCTAACCTGGGCCGATCTCACTTTTGTCGCTCTACTGGACTATCTAAACTTTATGATGGAGGAGAATATAATCGAGAAATATGAAAATCTGAAACAGCTGAAGCAAAAGGTCGAGGAGATACCGGCTATCAAGAGTTGGATTGAGAAGCGTCCGCCGAGTGCTCTGTAATTTCATTGAATGATGGTTGATTTTTCAATCGTTGATTATTTATGTCATACTATGTCTCGGTTTGATTCAAATGTCAATTTTTCTTTTTCTCTATATGCTTAAATTTATATATGTATGATAGATTTAGAAATGTGCATTGAACATAGATATATATTTTAATTCTTGTAGGCTGATTGTTATTCCTACCATATATTAATACGACAATAATAAGAATATTGTAAAAATATTTCTAATAGAACTTCAATCAATATGCTATTTTTGCATTATATAATTTTGTATTTCAATAAATCGCTATTTTTATTTTGTATATGTGCGCGTTGCTGATTTGTTTTGTATTCTAGCAGATTTTATTTTTTCCATTTATTTAGAATTTGTTAAAGTATATTTGTATTTACCGAACCTTCTTCCCTTCGGTCTCTCTCATTTTATAAAATAATTTTTATATTTATACTCAAATTGAAACAAATATTTTATTTATACTGATTGTATCTTAACAAAATTTTGCAATAAATGTGGCATGATTAATTTGTGCTATCGTACAAAACGCAGATAATATCTCTCCTATAGCACTGAATAAAACTTGGGATATCGATAGGATATCGTGACATGGCTATATATATTATCGCAAAGTAAATATATCTTTAATGCAACCAATGGCCGCATCAGTTATTTAAAATCGAGGGAGGGATTATGATTCATTAACGAGTAACTGGAAATGTATGTGTTACACCGTGACAAAGATTACTTTCGAGCATGTTAATCTTTCTCTGAAAAAATTTCAGCATATTGTTTACACATTTGATATACATTTTGATAAAAGTATTTTTGCAAAAATAGTTTTGTAATATTTCGGATAATCAGATTAGTTTGTCAAGTATAGATTTCGTTAAGCGTCTGCTGCAAATTTTGTTGGCAGAAAGATTGCAGATTTTACATAGGGCAATATAAATACTGTTGGCTGAATATATGTATTTGGCAGGAATATAATTAATTTTACTTATGTTGAAATATCTAACTCGAAAGAATTAAATATAGAGTTAATTTTATATTTTGAATAAAATTAAACCCATCACAGCGATTACAGCTAACGTATTTGGATTGCCAATACTCCGGCGTTATTTTTTCTTACATTTATGGGCGCGGAAAAATGACAGCGGTTTTCTCTCCTTTTGCGAAAAAAATGCCATTGTATGCCATTGTAAAACTTTAACATAGATTAATTCTTGTAGTTCTATCTACCTACTACTGAAAAAAAGAAGAAATGCTTTCGAGAAGAAACTCAAACAGGTCGCCTTCGAAAAATTGCCTTTCTTTCTCGACAAGTTCGAAGCTCAAGTTAAAAAAAACGACGGATACCTTGTTGGTGGCAAGGTAAATAATTTTCGAATATCTCATATGCGAGATGTTATCTTGTTATTTTTACCTTTGCAAGAATATAAAAATGCATTATCTCTAAGTGTGAAGGTATATCTTTTATCTTTGTTTCACTTTCAGTTTTCTACGCGCAATCTTTATCAATATAAATTATATTTAATCTACTAGATATCGAATATCTGACAATTCTAAGTATAAGGTGAATGTGATAATTTTTGAACAATATCTCTGTTTGTGTAAGATTTGTTTGTGTAGATATTAGGCACTTTCATAACTGTAGTTTACAGCCCCGCTTTATCAACACCGTTACTTGCAATTCGAACCGTTTGATAAAAGATAATTTAGAATAACATTCAAAAGATGATTAAATAATAGTTTAAAAATGAATCAACATCTTTCGGATACTTTTGCATTTTTTTTTGATCATTGTGCTCTCAGGGAAGTTTTGCTCATATCTCTTTTGCAAGTTTGAAGCATGATGTGATCATTGCCGATGCAAGAAAGTGGGAGGGATACAGAGAATTGGCAGGGATAAATAAATAGATGCATATAACAAGGCTGGTTTTATATTGCTAGATATAGCACTGTCGGTGACAGTCTTCTTCATCTCTCCTATAGAATTTATTTCGAGCTAACTGTAAGTAAAACTTTTCTTTATTCTTAAGATGCAAATTTGACTGATCAAGTCGAGTCTATAAATACTGTAATATCGTAACATCGAATATTTCATATACAAGAGCACCGAAGCCGTCGCGTCACTAGCCAGCTGATGGCAGCGGTTGATTAATAGCGATTCGCAAAATCTTGATATAATAATAAAGCAATAATGATGAGATCGAAAGAATGACTCGGAATAATCGCGGCAAGAGTACATATTGCGTTATAGCAGCAATTTATATCAGTTAGGACTGATCTGCAAATAAGAGACGTCATTATATAAAAGGCGTTTCTCTTCGAAAACATCCTTGACTGATATTAATATCTGTTGCAATGTGACGTCACATCAATATCAAGAACGTGTGAATAAAGTATAAACTGCTAGTAACGAATAAAATTTTGATATTGTTAAAAAAAATGGAAATTGTATTTATAACAAAATATATAATCTGAGTTATCATAATTTTGTTTTTTTAAGAATATATTTTCTTAATTTAGAAAAAAAATAATTTATTTTATAAACATTATAAAACACATTCTTTTTCAGCAACATGCCTTCCTATAAGCTGACTTACTTTCCTATTCAAGCATTGGCCGAGCCAATTCGCTTTCTATTAAATTATGGTGGTACCAAGTTCATCGATTATCGTTTCGACAGGGCGGATTGGCCGAAAATTAAGCCAAGTATGTATATCTGTAAAGCATTGATCAATATTAATATTAATGACACGTGTCGTATTAGCGTTGGTTTATTTATCGCAGCCATTTAATTAATTCGACTTGATTGTTCTTCAAATTTGTCTTATAAAAATTTGCGACAGATCAGGAGAAAAAATGATTCTGATGATTCTGATATTACTTTTTCCATTTTCTGAAGCATTAAGTGATTTTTATTATAATTAATTTTTTGTTTTCAAATATAAAATGTCTTAATATTCTTTTTGTATTATTCTATTATATATAGATCTATTATTACATTGGATTTCCTCGCTTAAATCACAGAAACGGAAATTAATGTTATTTCCATGCGCGACAATAGAAGTTTTTGTTTCTTATTATGCATTGCAATACCTTACAGGACAATCGACATTGTTATGCGAATACAATGCTCTGTATTCAATTGTTTCATGACAAACATGTTGCGTTCGCTATACGTTTTCAATGTATATAAACAGTCTATTGATATAAGTAAACCATTTTAGTGTAATTTAAACTGACCGATAAACTGCCGCTACTGCTGTAATAAATTTGTTTCATTTTAATTATAATAAATTTATAATTTAGAGAGAATTTTTTTAGAACACAGAAAATAAAATGCGATAGAGAAATTTGAATAGCTTTTCATTGTAACAAAATTTATTCAATTTTTTATATTTTTACATTTTATTATCATTTTTCAGCTACGCCGTTCGGCCAAGTACCTATGCTCGAAGTAGATGGAAAGAAAATTGCTCAGTCTAAAGCTATCTCCCGCTACTTGGCAAAACAATACGGTCTTGTCGGCAAGAACGATTGGGAATCTCTAGAAATTGATTCTACCGTCGATACTACACATGATTTGTATAGCCGTGAGTGTAGATACAATATATTATTTATATTCTCAATCTCTTCTTTTGTTTGTTACTAAGAAAATTCGAAATGATTTGAACCACAATTATCAATACTGTGGATATATATCGGTTAGGTTTACAGCATCACAAATTTAATTCAACGAAATTGATCGTTTCAAACGCTTTGATTAAAATTGCTTATAACTATTATTAATTCTTGTTTTCGTTATAGACATTGCGGCTTATCACTATGAAGACAATGAAACGGTTAAAGAAGAGAAACTCAAAAACGCCAAGGAAACGGTGCCGTACTACCTGGAACGTCTGGATGCTCAGGTGCAAAAGAACGGTGGTTACTTTGTTGGCGGTGCTCTAACTTGGGCCGATCTTACTTTTGTCGCTCTATTGGACTATCTAAACTTCATGATGAAAAAGGATATAATCGAGAATTATGATAACTTGAAGCAGCTCAAACAAAAGGTCGAGGAGATACCGGCCATCAAGAGCTGGATTGAAAAGCGTCCGAGCGATATATATCCGTAAACATCATCAATGTCATTTCTGTACTTTTATTGATGATTGATTTTTTGACCGTTAATTGCTCGTCAATTTGAATCAAGTATCAATTTTTTCTTCTTCCAATGTGCATAAATTTGTAAAATATATGTATGATAGATTTATAAATGTGCACACCGGATAGGTATATATTTTAATACCTGGTGAAGGCTGATTTTTATTCGTATATTAATACGACGATAATAAGAATACTAAAAGACTATTTCTAATGGAACTTTAACAAGACTGTTTTTTCGCATTCTGTAATTTTATATTTCAATAAATCGCTACTTCTTTATTATTTTGTATATATGTGTATTGCTGATTTTGTTTGTATTCACACATATTTCACTTTTTTTATTTATTCAGAATTTGTTAAAGCATGTCTATATTCTTGTATTCACTGTACCTACCTCCCTTTGATCATTTTATGAAATAATTCTTATATTTATATTCAAATTGAAATAAATATTTTACTTATACTGAATGCGCCTAGAAAAAATCTTGCGTCGAAAATAACGGAAATGTTAAGCGACATAGACGAGAATCTTTATTAATGTAAAAAAATTACGGTTTTGATAATTCTGAGATTTTCTGAGATTAAATATCTCGGATTAAATTTATATATATTTCCAAAGCGCTAATGACTTGCGAAAGGCAGGTATAAAATAAATAAAATAAATGTGACATGATTAGTTTGTCATCGTGCGAAACACAAGCAAATACAACATTGAAAATACTTTTTATAGGATATCGTGACGTGGCTTTTGCGGTTGCCATGTCGCTATATTATCGCAAAGTATACATGTAATGTAACCGAAGGTCACACACGTTAATTGGAATCGAGGGAAGGACTATACCTAATCATCGAGTAACTGGAAACGTGTGACGTACGTATTACACAGTGATAAATATTACTGCTACAAATTTTGTTGGCAGAAAAATTGCAAATTTTATACAATGTATGTACAGTTAGAGGAATATTGGTAGAAATAAAGCTCTGTTTGTTAACGAGATACTGATAGCGGATTGATGTTGAAATCGAGCAGGCATACAAGAGCAGAATCAGTGTTTGTCAGATTCTGCTCGGTTTCTGCTTGGTCATCCTCTGCTATTACGTTATATCATCAACTTCAGACACAGTTGCCAATCTGTTGCGATTTCTGTTTGAATCTGTTTGTATACTAACATTTCATTTATTGAATATTTTTTGAATATTACTAAAATTTGTGGACACATAACTTTTTGGCATATTTTTTAAAGAATCTTTTTAGAATTTTTCGATATTTTTTTTATGGGTATATATTTTTTTTAAAGAATCTATAAAAAATTGATAACATATTAAAGAAAAAAACAAAGCTCAAATTTTTCGGCTCGTAATGATGTTTTTTAAATCTTATCTTCCTCTCAATATTAATATCGTAATTATTTATTTTTCTTGATATTAATTATAATTGTGTTTTTTTTTCTTTTAATATTTTTCTTTATGTTTTCAGCGTCAATATTCTCTGCATTTTTATATCTTTTTTATGCGCACAAAACTCATCGAGTCATTGAGAAGTAACAAGTTATCTCTATTAATAACATACAAAATAGATACAACGCGATTCACATAATTATATATTGCATGTTGCAGATAATATAGGTATATAGAGAAAGTCATTTAATATGATAATCTGAAAGAACGAGACCGCGTTGACCTTCAAACGCTATACATCTTTATGAAAAATATTAGACAAGTAAATTGCATTGCAAAATTTTACATTTATAATCCTATTATTTACAGAAGCAAAACATTATGTACATAGCATATTTCATGATCATGATCGTATATGTTTTTGACTAAATATTATAAGAAATTTATTTAGCTAATAATATCGCATGCAACGTGTGTATGTGTTTCTCGAGTACGTATGTTATTATCGTAGATAATATATTTGATTTGTCACGTTTTGATGACACAAATAGCATAGTGTTGTCTGGATGGCATAAAGTTATCTTCTGTCACCATTATTACATTGATAATGAAAGATACAATATGTTTTACATTATATCCAATGATCTTTTTTTGATGTTGTTTTAGATTTTTGTGTATTACGTGCGAAAATTTTTAACGTGTTCTCTATATTTTCTTTCTATATAATTATAGTAATATAAAATTGTACATTTCTCTTTTTTAATATGGAGTCAGTTAATTTTACTTAAAATATGTAATTTTAGAGAGCTTTATATAGAGTTAATTTATATTTTGAATTAAATCACACAGCGGTGATTTCAGCTAGTATTTGCCAGTATCGCGGCGCTGCTTTTTTCTCACGAAAGAAATTTAATTCAATAAGACAAATGTATCGCTTTTATGAGCAAAGGGCATTTGGAAAATATTTATGTTATATTCTCTAATATACTTGTTTTTACATATTTTAAAACAAAGTAGTAAAGTCATATAAAAGCTAAGAAAAACTGTAAAATTCTGACATATACATTTCTATATTCAACAAACGAGAATATATAAAAAAATTATTTTCAACATATTATTGGTGTAATTATTAACTCTTCACTTCTCTCGGTGATAACGTCCGGATTTTAAAAGAAAATAGTTTTTTTATCTATGCTTTACACATGTGTATCATTATTCGTACAGAGTAGATCGTCTAGTGAATTAGTTTGTTACTGGGTGTGCGTGTATAAGAATTTCCAGTATTCTTCCATAAGAGTTTCCCTCTCTCTCTTTCTACATCCCTAATATAAGCTGCATTCCGTTTTATACATAATGCGCATGATGCATGACTTATCCTTGTTTAACATTCGGTGAACAACAAGGATAAGTAATGCATCGTGCGCATCGTGCATGAAACGGAACGCAGTCATAATTGAATACGTGGGGCACCGCTTTAGCGAGAGCTCAATCGTTCTCAGTTCGCAACAAACTCCGTATCGACTGTCAGACTCTCGGTTGTCGCTAGAAATTACGGATTATCAGCAAGGTATTGAGGAATTACATTCTATCTTTCTATTTCGTAAATTGTTCTTTGATTAAATATAAATAATGTTAATAAAGTGTTATTTTAAAATAAATAATTTTAAATACATATAAAAATATTTTAAAATAAATCCGTATGATTTTCCTAGTGTAAGGATAATAAATTGAATATAATCAAGCATTAGAAGAGTGTCAAAAATGCCAAAAGTATATTATATATTCACTGTTTACTGAAATAAAATTTTCAGAACATGTCTACATACAAGCTAACGTACTTCAATGTCACCGGCCTTGGGGAGCCAATTAGGTACTTGTTAAGTCAAAGCGGCATCAAATTCGAAGATGTTAGACTTGAATTTGACGACTGGCCGAAGGTGAAACCTAGTACGTTATAATTTCATATACTATCATTTTAAAATTATAAATGATCTCGATTATAATTTCAATTATTCTTTTTTTCCTGTGTTTTATTAATATTATAAAACTTATTTTTTGCTTCCTCATAGAGGAACCTTTGTTTTCGTGACAAAATTTTTTTTTGAGTTTTATAGAGTATCATTCAAGGATGGTTGGTATTGAATTTGGTGAGAATCGATGAAAAGGTTCATTTTTTATAAAATTTTTAATTTTTTGAGAAATGTTTGTATACATTTTAATTTTCGCAAATGTTGAGATATCGGATTAAATTTTTTTACATGAATAGAGTATTATTAAAGGATGTTTGATAAATCCGCATGCTTAAAGCAGCTTAAGCTTTGTAAGATAAAATGATGAGGAAGCAATGTGCAAGTTTCTACTTTTTTATTCTTAAATTAATTGTTGAAGACACGTTTTATTATTTCGTAATTTAATTGAATTTTAATGAATTTTAGGTATGCCTATGGGGCAAGTGCCGGTCTTGGAAGTCAACGGTAAACCGTATCATCAATCCAAGGCAATCGCTCGCTTCGTTGCTAAGAAGGGCAATTTATATGGTTCCAACGAGCTCGAGGCCATGGAAATCGACGCTACAGTCGAGACTATTGATGATTTAAGACAAGGTGAGACTGGTACAGGCAAGCGCGGAAAAATAATAGACCGGTAATTATGTAACTGTTACACGTAATACATAACGTGCAGCTCGGGACTCTTCAATATTTCCATCAACGTGAGATACATAGTCAACATTTGATACAACTCACGTTATATACGAGATACATTGTGTCGATAAAAGAGAGCCGAGGTTATATTCGTAATCAACAAGTCATGCACACTTCCTGAATGATTGTCGGGCTATATCATTATCGCTTTTTTCTCGTGATTTTTTCCTCCTTTTGCGAAAAAAATATCATTGTATAAAATTTCAACATAAATTAATTCTTGTAGCTCTATCCACCTACCACTGGGAAAAAGATCCCGCTATCAAGGAGAAACTCAAAACAATCGCCTTCGAAAAATTGCCTTTCTATCTTGACAAGTTGGAGGCTCAAGTAAAGAAAAACGGCGGATACTTTGTTGGTGGCAAGGTAAATAATCTTCGAACATTTTGCACAGGATGTTGTCTTTCCGAGAAAAAATTGTATAGTATAGGCAGTTGTGAATATACATAATTAGTCATGAAAAGATCTGGTAACATATGTAATTTTATATAATCATATAAAATTACATGTTTATATAAAATTACATGATATTACCATTATACCATTTTTTCTCGGGTTATTTTTATCTTTGCAAGAATATCAAAATATATTTTGATTATCTTTTTTTTAGCTATCGTGGGCAGATCTCCTGTGGGCTGCATATTCTGAATATCTAAACTCTGTCCTGGCAGGAGATATAAATAAAGATCATCCGGAATTGAAGAAGCTGGTGGAGAAGGTTCGCGCGCTTCCCAACATTAAAGCATATATCGAGAAGCGACCCAAGACTCAATTATAAATAAAACAATCTCTATTTTTATACTTTTTTGTCAATTGCGAATATGTTACGTTTAACTGTTAACTCTTTCTGCGACATTTTATAAAAAAAATTATATATTAATTGCGAGTAGCTTTAATCGGTTACTTTGTAATTTTCAAACAATTGTTAATATTGCTATGTAAATACAAATGCAAAGAAAATTAAAATTAAAATTAAATTAATTAAATTAAAATTATCGGAGTGGTCGAATAAAAACCATTCTCTCTAGGAAATTAAAATCCTATCGATATTGCGAACATACTTACGTATTAAATATTCACAAAGCGGTGCTTTTGAAACCTGAATTGTGTTTTATAATTTATTTTTTCTCGTATAAAATTTATTATAAAAAAAGGTAATTACACTGCTCAAAAAAATTATGGCATAGAAAATATTTGCGGAAAATTGGCCAATTTTGACTGCCGACCACTTCGCGAAAAATTATCGTAGATGAATGATTTTTTTTTCAAAATGAAGTTTGAAGTCTACTTTACCTCCATTTTTTGCATGCAATGCACCCCACCCCTGTAACCCCTGAAATCTGAGGGCATGTTTGGCATACTGAAAATTGCAAAGTTTGACGGAATGCACGGAATGCATGGAAAAATTTTTTTCAGGGACACTGTTTGCATCGTCATAAAGTTTAAATCTTCCACTTCAATTTAAAAAAAAAAAGTGAAGTCGCTACGATTTTTTTTTCGCAAAGTTGCAGCCCTTCAAAATTACTGTTGTTTTTGGCCTTTGAGCCAAGTACCGGCCGGTGGGTTTAATGACTAATCAAAACACGAGCCAGGAGCTGAAAAACGTGCGTGCACGCGCGCGTGTGTGTCCACAAACACTATTGCCATGGCTCTACTATGGCTTCCAGTACAATTAGCTTTTTGTCTCGTAAAATGAACGCACTAGCGTGCGTGCCATATGTTCCGCTTAATTATAAACAAACTGCAGCAAATTATAAATAAACGGCAGAATTTTTGCCGTTGATTTTATAATTAGAACTTTTTGTTTTTATTTGGACATATGCAGGAGCAATCGAAATAGGAAGTATCTATAAATAAGCTCCATGTATAAATGGAATATACATATAGCTTTATTATTATATGAACAAACTATAATATATATACATATATCCTTCAGTAAAACATTGTAGCCGCGTGCATATGTATGTGTGTATGTTGATATATCATTCTCGCGCATAAAAGTAAACTGAAATGGAATTTGAATAGCTTTTCATTGTAACAAAATTTATTCAATTTTTTATATTTTATATTCATACACTTTATTATCATTTTTCAGCTACGCCGTTCGGCCAAGTACCTATGCTCGAAGTAGATGGAAAGAAAATTGTTCAGTCTACAGCTATCTTCCGCTACTTGACAAAACAATACGGTCTTGTCGGCAAGAACGATTGGGAATCTCTAGAAATTGATTCTACCGTCGATACTATACATGATTTACGCGCCAGTGAGACACAATATATTATTTATATCCTCAATCTCTTCTCTTGTTTGTTATTAAGAAAATTTGAAATGATTTGAACCACAATTTTCGTGAGCTCAATTATCGATACTGTGGATATATATCGGTTAGGTTTACAGCATCGCAAATTTAATTCAACGAAATTGATCGTTTCAAACGCTTTGATTAAAATTGTTTATAACTATTATTAATTCTTATTTTTGTCATAGATATTACGGCTTATCATTATAAAGACAATGAAATAGCTAAAGAAGAGAAACTCAAAAATGCCAAAGAGAAGGTGCCGTACTACCTGGAACGTCTGGATGCTCAGGTGCAAAAAAACGGTGGTTACTTTGTTGGAGGAGTAACGAGTTATCTCTATTAATAATACACAAAATAGATACAACGCGGTTCACATAATTATATATTGCATGTTGCAGATAATATAGGTATATAGAGAACCACATCCTTTAATGTGATAAATTGAAAGAACGAGACCGCGTTGACATTCAAACGCTATACATCTTTGTGAAAAATATTAGGCAAGTAAATTGCATTGCAAAGTTTTACATTTACAATTCTATTATTTACAGAAGCAAAATATTATGTATATAGCATATTTCATTATCATAATCATATATGTTTTTGACTAAATATTTTAAGAAATTTATCTAGCTAATAATATCGCATACAACGTGTATGTGTTTCTCGAGTACGTATGTTATTATCATAGATAATATATTTGATTTGTCACGTTTTGATGACACAAATAGCATAGTGTTGTGTGGATGGCATAAAGTTATCTTCTGTCACGATTATTGCATTGATAATGAAAGATACAATATTTTTTACATTATATCCAATGATCTTTTTTTGATTATGTTGTTTTAGATTTCTGTGCATTACGTGCAAAAATTTTTAACATGTTCTCTATACTTTCTTTCTATATAATTATAGTAATATAAAATTATACATTTCTCTTTTTTAATATGGAGTCAGTTAATTTTACTTAAAATATATAATTTTAGAGAGCTTCATATAAAGTTAATTTATATTTTGAATTAAATCACACAGCTAGTATTTGCCAGTATCGCGGCGCTACTTTTTTCTCACGAAAGAAATTTAATTTAATAAGACAAATGTATCGCTTTTATGAATGAAAAACATTTGGAAAATATTTATGTTATACTCTCTAATATACTTGTTCTTATATATTTTAAAGCAAAGTAGTAAAGTCATATAAAAGCTAAGAATAACAGTAAAACTCTGATATATACATTCCTATATTCAACAAACAAGAATACATAAAAAAATTATTTTCAACACATTATCGGTGTAATTATTAACTCTTCATGTCTCTCGATGATAACGTCCGGATTTTAAGAAAAAACAATTTTTTTATCTATGCTTTACACATGTGTATACGTTATTCGTACAGATTAGATTGTCTAGTGAGTTAGTTTGTTACTGTGTGTGCGTGTATAAGAATTTTCAGTGTTCTTCCATAAGAGTTTCCAAACCCTTCTCTCTCTTTTTACATCCCCAATATAACGTGGGGCATCGCATTAGCGAGATCTCAGTCATTCTCGGTTTGCAACAAACTCCGTATCGGCTGTCAAACTCTCGGTTGTCACCGTAGAAGTTACGGATTATCAGCAAGGTATTGAGGAATTACATTTTGTCTTTCTATTTTGTAAATTGTTTTTTGATTCGATATAGATAATGTTAATAAAGTGTTATTTTAAAATTAATAATTTTAAATACATATAAAAATATTTTAAAATAAATGCAAATGATTTTCCTAGTGTAAGGATAATAAATTGAATATAATCAAGCATTAGAAGAGTGTCAAAAATGCCAAAAGTATATTATATATTCACTGTTTACTGAAATATAATTTTCAGAACATGTCTACATACAAGCTAACGTATTTCAATGTCACCGGCATTGCGGAGCCAATTAGGTACTTGTTAAGTCAAAGCGGCATCAAATTTGAAGATGTTAGAGTCGAATTTGACGACTGGCCGAAGGTGAAATCTAGTACGTTATAATTTCATATACTATCATTTTAAAATTATAAATGATCCCGATTATAATTTCAATTATTCTTTTTTTTTCTGTGTTTGATTAATATTATAAAACTTATTTTTTGATTCTTAAATTAATTGTTGAAGACACATTTTATTATTTCTAATTTAATTGAATTTTAATGAATTTTAGGCATGCTTACACGCTTGCCTATGGGACAAGTGCCGGTCTTGGAAGTCGACGGTAAACCGTATCATCAATCCAAGGCAATCGCTCGCTTCGTTGCTAAGAGGGGCAATTTATATGGTAACAACGAGCTCGAGGCCATGGAGATTGACGCTACAGTCGAAACTATGGATGATCTAAGACAAGGTGAGATTGGTACAGGCAAGGGCGGAAAAATGATAGACCGGTAATTACATAACTGTTACACGTAATACGTACGTGCAGCTCTAGACTCTTCAATATTTCCGTCAACGTGAGATACATAGTCAACATTTGATGCAACTCACGTTATATACGAGATATATTGTGTCGATAAAAGAGAGCCGAGGTTATATTTGTAATCAACATGCACACTTCCTGAATGATTGTCGGGCTATATCATTATCGCTCTTTTCTCGCGAGTTTTTTCTCCTTTTGCAAAAAAAATACCATTGTATAAAATTTCAATATAAATTAATTCTTGTAGCTGTATCCGCCTACTACGTGGAAAAAGATCCCGCTATCAAGGAGAAACTCAAAACAATCGCCTTCGAAAAATTGCCCTTCTATCTTGACAAGCTGGAGGCTCAAGTTAAGAGAAACGGCGGATACTTTGTTGGTGGCAAGGTAAATAATTTTTGAACATTTTGCACGGGATGTTGTCACCCCGAGAAAAAATTATATAATATAGTCAGTCGTGAATATACATAATCAGTCATGAAAAGATCTGGTAACATATGTAATTTTATATGATGATATAAAATTACATGTTTATATAAAATCACATGTTATTACTATTATACCTTTTTTTCTCGGGTCGTTATTTTTATCTTTGCAAGAATATAAAAATACATTTTGATTATCTTTTATTTTAGCTATCGTGGGCAGATCTTCTGTGGGCTGCATATTCTGAATATCTAAACTCTGCCCTGGCAAGAGATATAAATAAAAATCATCCGGAATTGAAGAAGCTGGTGGAGAAGGTTCGCGCGCTTCCCAACATTAAAGCATATATCGAGAAGCGACCCAAGACTCAATTATAAATAAAACAATCTCTATTTTTATACTTTTTTGTCAATTGCGAATATGTTACGTTTAACTGTTAACTCTTTCTGCGACATTTTATAAAAAAAATTATATATTAATTGCGAGTAGCTTTAATCGGTTACTTTCCAATCATTGAATAATCGTTAATATTGCTATGTAAATACAAATGCAAAGAAAATTAAAATTAAAATTAAATTAATTAAATTAAAATTATTTTTCTTTATCAAATATAAATGTTTTAATTTATTCCGTCAAAGTCTTTTATTTTTAAACTTTTTTTAGAAGAAATTGTCTTATCATTATATATCAGCGTAAAAATATCCGAAATAATCTACGAGATATAAAGAGTTTCTGATAAGAGTGTCCTTTTCTAAAGTGATAACAAGTGACGACGCTCACGCAATTGTTAATATATAGAAACAGATAATCGTTGCATTTCTATTTAGCAAATTATATGCATATATCGTACAGTTGCTGTTTATACAAACGATGATAGAGATTCAACCTGTACATACAAACGTATTTATTGTCGTTCAAATAAAATTCAACTTGGTACAGTTAATATGATGTAGATAAAAATAAATTTTGAAGTTTATTTGAAGTTACATTATATCTACAACAAGCATATGGCATCAATGAGAAATATTATAGCATTGTTTAGTTATAAATATTTTTTAATTTTATTTTGCCAGAAATGGGTTGCAAAGAAAAATATTAATCTTATCTTATAACATTATAATCCCATAACTTTAATCCGTTTTGGATTTAATATTTACTTTAGTCTTTTATTTATAATTGATAACTGTCGGAAGGAGAAAACTAGTAATTCTTCTCAAAAATCATAGTTTTGCATAACAAAAATATATTAGAAAATAAGTGACACAGGTTTCTAATTCCATATAAAATTTTGATTGTGATTAGCGTTAAAATCTTTTGTACAATTAGAAATATAAATTTATCACGGAATATTAATACCGATGATGGCTAAAGAAGATATCTTGCGCGATCTTGCGCGATCGTGACAAGTCATTTCACATTATTACATACTAGAACTTTGCGTCATCAATGCGAAAACGTCTTTATCATCATATTTATTATATATACATGTTTACATTCTTAGAGGAACGCCGATATTGTAAATTCTATCTGCGCGAGGTACTAGTATTATTAACAGTCAGGACAGTCAGTTGGACAGAGAAGTAAAATGTTCGCAAATATATGTAATTTAAATATCAAGCATTCAGTTATCTTGTTTATGCCACATTTTTGGCTACTTGCATAAAATAACTGATAGTATTTATTTATGTAACACCCGATTCACAGACGACTTTAACATATCTTTTTCATTTTTTTTTCCCGTTATTTGTTTTATTATATTATATCTGCAGATCTTCGCATAATTGGATCAATAGTCTTTTCTCTTCTTGCAATAATAACTTCACAAAAACCGATTCTAATCAAATTTGTCGCATATTCCGCATTCATTCATCTTGATGATGCAATGTGTCTCGCGTATCGTCCTGCACTTAAATCCATAATTGTATCGAGATTTGCAAATTGTTAAACTTTTTAATTGCAGGTGTAACAGCACGTTCTCGTATGAGGTATATAGATATTATAGTGTCAAGATCTTTATATTAAAAGGCTCTATAAGTCTGCGATACTGCATGCAAAGATCGCGAGAAATATCTACTTCGAGAGGCGACGTTTCGCCTCGATGAACGAATGTCAGGTGACGAGATCGAAGTTCAATTCGCCCATGTACCGCGCCAGCTCAGACCCGGTAAACTCGGTCTCGTCGAGATCCTGAAGGCTGGAATTGCTGATCGTATTGGCACTCTCGATGCTTGGGTGACTCTGGAATTTAGGCGACATCACTGCAACCGGTGGTTTTTCCGGTTTCGGTCTCGTCGGGCTGGTCGATGAATTTTTTCGATGCTGCGCGAAGAATCCTTTCGTGCCGAGGCCCAGTCTCTCCGTAAGAATCCCTGCTGGAAATGTCAAACATCTGATAATATTTTTCCCGTAGCTTTCCTCGAAACATATAAATAAAAATTGCAGCAAGTAATCGTAAAAACAATAAAGAGAGAGAGAGAGAAGCATTTATTTTAAAAGTTCATATATTTTGTAAGTAATTAATATTTTCTTTTCAATTTTGAAATATTGGCTTTCAAATCTTATGCTATTTGCAAACGCCTATCGAAAGTTGTGTTTACGTAAAAGAAATCTAATATCTACTTAAATTTTTCAAAGCATATTTTTTTCAATAAGTTGAGATAAAAACACTTGGATCTTTATCATTTGTATTTTCGCGAGATATAATATTTATTCTATATATATATATATATATATAAAATTATCTATAGATACATAAGTATAACAGATTGTACGGACGTGTCCCCTCGGCAAAAATTAATTTGTTAAATAAAAACGACCTGTTTCATTGATTTAAGGACTGCTGTTAGAGATAGGACCTACGGATTAATTCGCGTCGCGAAAGCATGAGGGCAGACGGATGCTACCTAAAATGACAGCTTTCGGCGACTTATGTATCCTTGGCGGACACTCGTTCGTGGCCACGTTGTTGTTGCCTTCGTTGTTGAGACCCTGCTTGCCCAACGACGTTGTCATGGTGAGCTGACTAGAATCGGAGCCTCTCGACATGCTTCTGGCATATTCCCGGCAGCTTGCGGTCTCTCTAATCGCGACAACAGGTCGTATCTGTTGCTCGCTCCGTGATTTCGCGAGTCCGTTCACCTCGCAGGAATTTACGTTATTCGGCAGAGCGATATGCATCAATCGCTGTTGCTCGTCGCTGATGGATATCGAGGGCGAATGTTGAACGCCGTCGAATCGATGCTTCATGGATCTCTGATACCGCGATAAACTGCTATAAGTCGGCTGTCGAAGGCTACTCCTGTGAGACGAGCACTTCCTGACGCAATTCTTAGATAGCATCGACTGCAAAAAAAGATTATGAAATTATGCTTATGAAATTTTAAAACTTAATCTTTGCAATTTTATTATGTAATCATAACTGACGTATTAACAATAATGGATAAGAAAACATTTTCTAGATAAGAACTTTAGAATTAAGTTAAATAGAGAAAAAAAGCTAAAAAAATATTGTACATATGCCTAAATACTCTGTGTATATTATATTATATATCATATGTGTGATACACATTATATACTATATATATTATGTATGTATAATTTGTTATATATGGGGGTGTGTGTCGTGTGGCTATATATATATATTATATATATTTTTCTACTCTTGTCACAAGCACAAGTACCAGATTATAAAATTGCTCGTAAAGGGAGAAATTAAAACCAATTAAATCCAGCTCTCCGGAGGAGCTCGAAGACTCACCTTGAAGGCCTCCCTGAACTTGTTAGACATGATATTGTAGAGGAGCGGGTTTACTGTGGTAGATAGATAATAGAACACTCCTGACACATACGTGAGCGTGGTATATATTATGACCAGGGCATCTCCTGGTTCAGATGTGGTGCTCTGAGCATAAACGGCCAATAGTCTTTGTGCATGAAATGGCGCCCAGCAGATGAAAAAGGCCACCACCACTGCGACTATAAGAACAAGAAGGATGCAGACTAAGGTTTATTTGATTCCTCAGTTTCTCGCGCGTGTAAGACAGGATGTAAAATGAAATGAAACCTATATCCTACACAGTAAGATTAACGCGTAATTTGATTAAATTACTTACACGTCTCATAATTTGCAGGGAATAAACGGCTTGAAATAAAGGAAACAAGGGATGTTCTTCATAAAAGTACTCAAAAATTTAAATTTATAAACTTTCATCGATAATTCAATTGAAAGGATTTCATGTATAATAAGTAACTTTGTAGCAAAGCTAATTAATTGTCGAGAAAATATATTATAAGAATATTAAGAAAATATATTAATAAAATTACAAACATGTTAGAAATACTTTTGAAACTTTTAATTATTTTTTCTAACACACCCACAAATTTTTATATGTTATTATATATAACTATAATAAAAATTAGAAAAGAATTTTTAAAGAAAGAAGACATTTTTGATGTTATTTAGGAGTTCATAAATTAAGAAATTAGTCATTTATGAGATGCGAACAAGTCCCTTGTCTAAAACTTCATGAGCTTTATGGAACATATTGAGAAAAATCGTGATAACAAATAACATCGCTGAAACCGTTTGTCTACATTTGTTGTTATTTTAGATCACGTTCCGCGATTTTATTACTTCGTACAAGAAAAAGGAGCTTTCATTACGTCTGTTATTTTCCGCGAAATGTCAAAGTTTTCGAGAGGTAAGATAATCAAAGTTTATTCGGAGAGATTTTTGCATAGGGCACACCAGGTATCGAAAGGAAAAATGCACCGTTTCATTAAATAGAATGATTGGTAAAACTTAGAAAATGCTATTACGATGTGAACCATGACAGAAAACAGTGTTCTTTTTATTAAAACGAATCTACAGTTTTCTCACAACTTCTCAGATATTTCTCGACCTTTGCGATATCCAGGTAGAGCTTTCGTTCTTTCATTATACGCACGCGAACATCCTTTGGCTATATAATTTTTATACATTCCGCTTTTATGTCTCTCATTTATAAAATGTGCGATGAGGCATCTAAAAGATAAATTTTCCGAAAAGATCATCTGTTTCAAATATTTCGAAGTTGAATCTTAGTAAATAGATATAAAAATATATCGTTATTTTTTATTACATTAAACATATTGATAAAAATTAAAATATTTATATAATTTAATATTCCGCACATAAATATGACATAATACGTAAAATATTTCAGCAGCAAATTATCAACAACATGGTATTTGGCCTCGGCGGCGTATAGCGTTCTATTGTTTTTGTTTACATGTTATGGCCTTGTTATCATTCGTGTGGCAACATTTGAGAAATAATGTAGTAGTGAGCGAGGCGCTCCGTCAAATTCCTTTTCTAAATGCGATCGCGACAAGTATCGAGAAATGTAAGCAGTGAGCAGTGACCAGTGAGCAGTGAGCATATTTATATATATTATAATTATATACAGATTTTATCTCGAATTATATTATAAAGTAGAAGGAAATAAATGGTGCGCGTATTGTAATGTTCTAATTTTTCAAACTTTTAAAGCCAGGCACGCTTTTCACATTAGTTAATCTTAATCAAAACTAAGCATGTATAAAGGCTTTTCACAAAAATTTTTTTCTATTTATAAATAATATTAATATAAAGTAAGTGGAATATTTACGAGCCATATATTACGCGCCCGAACACAAATGCAATTAAATCTTCCACACGTTCCATTTTCTCTTATAGTAAACAGCACATTGCGGGCAATTTCAACGGTTTTTCTCAGTTGTTGCTTAACTCGTGTACATTCCGTGAATAAATTCTTGGCACGATGGTTATAATGATTGTCATCCGTATTTGAGAGAAAAAAAGAATGATATAATGCCCATTTGAAAATTCTCGAGGGACTATAACCACGACGAGCAAAACTCGAAAAAAGCCGCTAAACGGCTATGAGGATTCTAGACGGAATAAAAATGTTTGAAAATAAGCTTAACGAGTTTTATTAAAAATTATAGCTTTATAAGTAATGTTATAATGGTAACTGATGGGCATAATTCGTAAAAATTAATCCATGCCGAAAAGGCTGGGGGAAAGAGAGACAAAAAGAGAGCCGAGCGAAATAAAAATCTACAAATATTACGAGGATATTATCGTGACATTTCTCAAATTACGTGTTGAAAGTTCTGTGCCTAAGAAACAGAAATAAAAAAGCCAAAATTTAAATATATTTATTAATATTTATTTATATTATTTAAATTATTTTTCTCTCTCAAAGATTAAATTTTATATAATAAAAATAATATGAGCAATTAATATCTAACATCGAGAACGTTTTCATGTCATGAATATTTTAATGTATCGAATTTGGGAAACAAATAATTGATATTGAAAATTGATATAAGACTTATGACAAAAAAATGGTACACATAAAAAGGGACAACTTTGTTTTTAACTTATACAGGCAATATTAAAAGATAAAGAATGTGACAGCTGCCAAAGTAGCGAATAGCTTATATGTGGGGCGCGAAATAAAGTTTTCAAATTGATTCATGCAAATGGTGTGTGTGTGTGTTTGCGTAGTAGTGAAACTTGGAAAGTTTCTAACAAAAAGAGAACATTTTCGTACTTTTAAGACTTGGCGGAATACAAAAAAATAATTCAAATGTAATATTACATGAAAAATCGTCATCATCCATAAATATCGAACTTTCATAAATTTATGAATATATTTCTGTCACTAAGTAACTTAAGAAATCTCGATATTTAAAGGGAAACACTCTTGATTTCTTTCAGAGGAACACTTGATTCCAATTGCAAGAAAACGTTTGCAAGTAAAAATTAATAGAAGACGCGATTGGTTAGATAAATAGTCAAGAGAGAAATAGAGCTCATAGTTTATTAAAAGTACATATCTGAAATAAAAGACAACAGGTTTATATCGCTCTAATTTGTAAAAGAACAAAAATAAAACATCAGAGTTTGGAAAATGTTCATAATATATAATTTCCGTCTATCTTTTTCTATTAAATCTGCTGAAAAACTTTCTGTATAATCTAAAAAAAACGTTCTATAACTTCCAAGAAACAATGTTTGTTGATAACCCTTTACAATTCACGGGATATTGCAATTGTGAATATGCAACTTTTTATACATAAGCAATCAAAAGCGTACGGCATCACTGATTCGGGAACATCGTTTTTATGTTTTATTGCAGTTTTTCGGCGTAAAATATTGGATAGCGTGCAAATATGAAAAAATATGTATATTTATTTATTTTTACGAAAGAAAAATCGATTTTATTCCTACGCACGTTCGTCAGATAAACGAGATTCGCCCACATGATTGACAATACGAACGGTACGATGATCGACATTTTTATCTCGATTATCTCTGAGCCGTTCAGATATCGGGGAAGATGGATGATCCTATGCGGATCATAAATTCGATGAAAAAACCGTATCGCGACTTTTGGAATAATTTTCTGTTCCAAATTCGGTTGACGATTGATTTATACACATATGTATAATATTATACGGAATAAATATGTGTCAAAACGTTACGTTATATTTTTCACTAATTGTAAGACACGTTTGAATAATCATGTTATTGTCACATATTATAAATAAATTGTATACAAATGTGCAGTTTAATAACGGAGAATTATTGTGAAAAAGCCAAGTGCAATTATTATAAGACATAAAAATTAATTTAATTTTATTTGCTTAAAAAATGCTATTTTTATGACTTATCGTATACACGTGCAAGATTTGCTGTTCCAAAGATATGTGCACTGTGATTTCTATTATAGAATATGTCTTGAGAAATAAAATCTATATCATCGGATTTGATAAATTCACGAGCGGTTGTTTCCTGATTGAGGTAATATCGCCTATCAATAACTTGTCGCGTCTCTGCACGATGATTAAAGGAAACAATCTTGTAAAGATGTTTAATATCTTAATTGTTTATTACATTATATTATTTTTTTTTTAAATATCTAATTATGTATGTCTTTTACATAATGTGTGTTATTTTGTTCAGTGGACTTTTTCATAATATCACTAATTTCATTACGATAATAATCACAGCGCAGCGGGCTCTTTTTCAATTAAATATATTTTCACCTTTCTTAATTTGCGAAAAATACGACTAAGTGACCTTTGTCTTCGATCGGCGTAGAAGGAAAGAAAATAGAGACGCACGTGTGATAAGCACACAAACTTTTTTTTTTCAGAGAGCAACGTAGTAGCTCCCTGGATAGGGAGAGAAAATGAGGGCAAAAATCTTAAGTACACGTCAGAAAGAGAAACCAAAATAATTTACCGGAGATCCGGTTTCTCTTTCTCCTTCGTACTGATGTGACCAAACAGATTGATAAATCGATATGGGACACGAACGACGAATGAGACGTCAAATAAACGGTTATTATCTCGATGGGGTTTTATGATATCCAGAAATCGAAGGTAAGAGAGACACGACGTTTTAGTATTTTTAGTGTAGCACGTGATCCTCGACTACCATCTGGCAACTATAGCTTAGGACGCAGAATGTGCGTAGAATCTGTGATGCTGTTTGGAATTATATACCGAGGGCTTGTGAAATATAATTTTAGACCAATAGCGTGATTTTTCGCAAATATTTTCACAAATCTTATCGATCTTTAATGAAAAATCCTATGTTATTCTTCTGGTAATTTTTTGGATATTTTTTCTTGCTAATCGCATGCGAAGAATTTACAAACATCGTCTTTCCGCGAGGGCTTGTTTGTATGTAAAATACGATAAAAGCTCTTAAAATGTTTTCAATGTCGAATCGCTGATCTGGAATAATTTTGCGGTCTCTAAAATATTTGCGAATTGCCATAATAATTCAGCATAAATTTGATCAATAAGAAATACGGAATTAAATTCTCTTGAAACAATACGGAAGCTTCAATACATTCGTACGATCGGGAATCACTGGGAGTCTTATGTAAGCAGATTGTGGTCGGAAAATAGACTGGAATCGCCCAATTGCACATTGAGAGGGAGAGAGAGAGAGAGAGAGAGAGAGAGAGAGAGAGAGAGGGAGAGAGAGAGAGAGAGAGAGAGAGGGAGAGAGAGAGAAAGAGAAAGAGAGAGAGGGAGAGAGAGAGAGAGAGAGAGAGAGAG